TCAAATTAACAACCAAACTATTTAATCAATGAAAAAACAATTCAATAAATAAAATCATTCAATCATTCAATTTTTTTCAATCAAATCATTCAATCAATCATTTAATCAAATTATCAATCAATCAAATCATTACACCATTTAACCAAGCAATCATTCATTTGTTTATTCATTAGTTTATTTATTTGTGCGTTATGTTTGTTCATTCATTCATTCATTCATTTATTTATTCAGTCAATCAAATAATTCAATCAATCCAATTATTTATTTATTAATTTATTCAATAATTAATTTAACCAACCAACCAATCATTCATTAATTTAACCAATTAACCATTCATTCAATGAAATTATCAACCAAACCATTCATTCAATAAATCAATCAATCACACAATCAATAAAATAATTCATTCAACCATTTAGCCAACCAATCATTTATTCATACATTCATTTATTCATTTGTTTATTCATTTGTTTGTTTGTTCGTTCATTTGTTCGTTCATTCAACCAATCATTTATTCAACCAATCAACCATTCAATCAAATCATTCAATCAATCAAATTATTCACTTATTCATACATTTAACCAACCAACCATTCTTTTAAACAATGAATAAATCATTCATTTATTTATTAAATCAAATCATTCAATGAAATTATCAACCAAACAAATCAATCAATGAATAAATCATTCATTCAATCAATCTAATCGTTCAATCAATTTATAAATCAAATCCTTCAACCAATCAAATCATTCAGTAAATATTTCAATCAAATCAATCAATCAATATCTAAATTATTTTTGATAATTAATGAAATTATTCAATTACTAAATCAACCAATCAAGCAATTAATCAAACATTCATTTAATTAACCAATTTATCAATTAAATTATTGTTTAAACAATTTAATCATGCAATTAGCTCAAGATTAGCTATGTTTCTATCCAAACATGCCCATTAGATATATGCACAAACTGAAACATTACAAATAACTTTTCAAAAAAAGCACAGTTTCTATCTGACAAGTCAACGTAGACAAAACCATTACTTCCTGATAGACTTAACAAATATCAAAAAGAAAAAGACATTTCTGCGGTAGGTGAAGCCACCGTGTGATCCACAAATTACTTGCACCTCAGAAGACGAAGTTGTGTTTCCATTGTAGTTTCAATTATTAATTTTCTTTTCGGCTTAAACTGGGAAACTGGAGCACCCGAAGGAAATCCACGCGAACACAGGGAACATGCAAACTCCACACAGAAATGCCAACTGACCCAGCCAGGGCTTGAACCAGCGACCTTCTTACTGTGAGGCGAGCGTGCCACTGCGCCACTACGTCGCCTCCATTGTAAAAAAAAAAAAAAAAATTATCCTCCTCAGCAGCGCACAAAAGTTTTATTTATGCACATTTTTTTTTATTTATCTTGATCTTGATCAATTTTCAAAAATTTAATCGATCTTTCATCAAGCATATTTATTGTGATATTCCAAAATATAAGGCTACTGAGTCTTGTTTTCAATCTTAATCAAATGTCCTTTGTAACAACTAATTTTGTATCAAATAAAAAATATAACAATACAATAATATTAATAATGATAGTAATAATTATTATAATTATGTATATATATATATTTTTTTTTTGGTTCAATAATTGGGATATTGTGTAATTAATTCACATTTGAATATGTACAGACTGTGATTTTATTTTTTGTGAAGAGTGGGAGGCTCTTCGATATTACTGGACACCAGTAAGACTGTATAGGATAGGATTAATGGAAAATAACCACTGTTGGAAATGTGGTCAGTCTGTGGGCACTTTTTTACATTTAACGTGGAGCTGTGATTTGGTGGCTCCATTCTGGACAAGAGTTATTCAAAACCTTGAGAAATGGCTGGGACAACCTTTACCTTATTCTCCAAGAGTCTGTCTTCTTGGTGATACATCGATTTTACAGAACGGAATATCTAAAACACAGGCTGGACTAGTCGTCGCAGGATGTATTATTGCTGTGAGACTGGTGCTGCGAAATTGGAAGAACTCAGATACTCCCTCATTTAAAGATTGGATTGAACTAATGACTTCTACTGCATCATATGAACGTATGTTGGCAAGACTTCAGGATTCCACCCATACCTTTAATCAGAAATGGGGTAGCTTTTTGCAATATTTGGAGAGCACATAAAAAGAAACTTGAAAAGTTGTCAATTTGACTGTCTGTTATATGGTTTTGTACTATTTTATATTTGTTATATTTTTTGTTTTGTTATTATTTTTATTATAATTTGTTTACATTATTTCTCGAATGTTGATTTTGTATTGTAAATTTTATGTTGTGTGGGTGTAAAAATTCAAAATAAATAAAAAAGTTCAATTACAAAAAAAAGAGTGGGAGGCTCTGATATCAGGGCAAGGGAAGAAAAGGAGTGAAGGAGAGACACAGACTGGGGGCTTACAGATGATTTTGTTGCATAACCATCTGTCATGTCTGGTTCAATAGAACCCGGATACACATGACGCAAAGACAAACATAGACACACATACGGCGAAACAGGACAGAACCAAACCCTCTGCACAGTGTGTTTTTTCGGGGGGATTGAGAATGTAGCCGTCAGTGTATTCTGTACCTAGCATTTCAAGCAACTCAGATTAGTTAGAGTTGTGAAGGAATCGTTGAAACCGTTGAAATTTAACAGATACGTGAAACAGCAAAAATGATTCATTGACAAAAACAAATTCTTAACTATTATACCGCTATTGATGACACTTCAAAGCAGAACAAGTATAGTTTGAAAACTGCAAACTTTTGAAAATGAGGGCGTGGCTGTGCATATTCATTTCTATATAGGATGATCTGGATCATCTGGTATCTTCACATGACCAATACACAATTTTTTGTTTCATTTCATTTGGTAGGTGGAGGGATGGGAGGGTGGATTACCTCAGATGTTATTGTGGTTGGTACTGTACATCTTTACATCCAGCATTTGCAATCTAAAAATGTCATGTCAAACAGGCAAAACACATTTTTTTTGTTTAATTTTATTTTGTGTTTGTAGGGATGGAAGGGTGGGTTACCTTGGTTGACTCAGAATATTGTGGTTCATACTGTTGGAAGCATACAATGTTTTTTTTAGCTCAGTTTGAACATTGTTAAACCCTCTGCGTTTTAATCCCAAAAATGATACTGTCCTCTAAATAAACAGGCAAAATGCGCAATCTTGTTTCATTATGTTTAATGGGTGGGTTGGTTGGTTAACTTAGTTGGTTTTGAGTATTGTGGTTCATACTGAAGGGGGCGTAGTGTTTTTTCAGTTCGTTTTTTAAGTTGTTACACCCCTTAGCGTTTTTAAGCCCCAAAATTACACTGTTGTAAACAAACAGGCAAAACACAACATTTAATTGTTTCATTTAATTTGGTGGATGGGAGAAGGAAGGGTGGGTTACCTCGGTTGACTAAGCGAGTAACGTGGTTCGTACTGTAGGGGGCATACCAAGTTTTTTTGGCTCAGCTTGAACATCGTTACATCCCTAGCGTTTTCAATCCCAAAAATGATGCTGTCGCGTAAACAAACAGGCAAAATGCTATTTTTGTTTCATTTAATTTGGTGGGTGGTGGATGGGTTACCTCAATTTGCTATTAAGAGTATTGTGGTTCATACTGCAGGGGATGCAGCACATTTTCTTTAATTCGGTTTGAACATTGTTACACTTCTAGCTTTTTCAATCTCCAGAAAGACGATGTTGTGTAAACAAACAGGAACAATGCACAAAATGCAAAAAATGCAGTTTTTGTTTCATTTCATTTGGTGAGTGTGAGAATTGAAGGAGGGTGTGAGGATGGGAGGGTGTGTGTGAGGATAAGAGGGTGGGTTGGGGTTCGTACCCACCTCGTTTTTTTCCAGTTGGGTTTGAACATTGTTACCCCCAGCATTGTCAATCCCTAAAATTATGCTGTTGTATTAACAAACAGGCAAAATGCTAAATTTTATTTAATTTGGTGAGTGGGGGATGGCAGGGAGGGGAACCTCGGTTGGCTATGAGAGTTCTGTGGTTCATACTGTAGGTTGTGTACTAGATTTTTTTACATTTCAGTTTGAAGACGGTTACAAGTCCCCTAGTGATTTCAATCTTAAAAATAATGGTGTCATGTAAACAAAAGAGGCAAAACTGAGAAAAATATTTTTGTTTTTGGCTGAAAATGTTGTAAATGGCTACTAGATTAAGAGAAAAGCATACTAAAGAAACCCCTTTTCTGAAGTAGTCACCAGGCTGTGCTGGTGTATTTATGTGGTATAACACAACATTTAGCTGCTTGCAAATGTGCCTGTACCTACTGTAATTTACCTAATTTAAAGCACAATCGGCCCATACAGATTAATGTTAAAAATCAACAATTAATTCCAGTTGATGGGCTAGTGTTTTTCAGCCAATGTGAAAGATTCATTAGACCATTTTCAATTTCATAAGGTTCCTTTTACAGCATTGATGTTGTAATGCAATTACAATACAATCAGTTAAATCGACTAAAGCATTCACTTTGTTGTTCAAGCATAAAACGAGATAAAAGGCAGTTTAAACACTAGGGCCGCCAGTGGCAGCAGGCGAGTGCAGAAACTTCATTGAAAATACAGGGATAAAATAAATGTTCATATATTAAAGATATGCTGGTAAATAATGGAATTTAATGCAGTGCTTCTTGTCCGCTTTGAGACCCAACTTTTATCGTATATTTATCAGGCATTAAGGATCACTGACTTTTAAAGAAATCAGATATTAAACGTGGCATTTTGTAATGGTACGACAGCTGACTGACTGAAAATTAAAAGTCTGTGTGCATATACCCCATTGGTCGGCCAATCACTCAGTTAACCTCTATTATAAAATCCATTTATTTTATTTTTTTGTCACAGCACACCACAGAACCAATTATGTGCCTTCTGTAATGGAAGATCATAACTGCTGTAACATAAAAATTACATTGGATTGTGCCAGACACAGTACCTCTCATGCAGTCCTCTATCCTGTGCACCAGCTGGTAGGACTTGCAGCGATCCAGCAGAGTTCGAATGGCTGGAAGTGGGTCAAGAATGATGGTCTCTGGGTGAGCGTCAATGTAATCCTGCGAGACCAGAGGAACACATTAGAACAAAACAGCAACTACCGTGACTATTGAGAAATATTTCGACAGTGCTTTTGAAAGGTCAGTTATCTAACATGCACATATATACAGTATGGACACGGGTTACACTGCTATTACATCATGCTAACTGAATGCAAAGCTGAGAAGTTGTTTCTTTTGCATAACCAGTCACTCACTCTTTATTCACTGTCCCCATTCACTCAACTCAACTCTTAAATCATATTAAAGACATTTGACAGAAATGGGAGGTAGACACACAAGAAAAGAATGCATTTGCTTATATCCAGCCACTTATTTGTTGTGCTTAAAGGGATAGCGCACAAAATCCTGTCAACATTTACTCTCCCTGCATTTGTTCCAGAACTGTTTTGGTTTCTTACTTCTGTTGAACACAAAATAACATATTTTGAAGAATGTATTTAAGTGCATGGCATTTTTTCTTACTATGGAAGTCTATGCTTCCCAGTTTCTAAATATATTTCTTTTCGTTTAACAGGGGAAAAATGTATAAATGTAAGAAACCCAAAATATAAAGGTTACATAACATCAGAAAATAAAAAGATCTCCAGATTTTGACATGGTTCAGAGTGAGCACGTACTTCAGATCATTGTGTGTCTTGCGTAAATCGACGTCGTTTACATTAAGCACATGCTTAGTGAGAGCGCAGTCTTAGGAGAGAGAGAGAGCTTTGTTTAAGAACATTAAGAGGCTCAGCACTCTTACGTTCTCATTTAGAGGTGAGTCCCTGAGGTGACACTTCATAAGACCACTAAACAACAACAAACATAGTTGTAAGATTGGCCTGAATTCAATTTTAAAAAATTGTTGAAGATATCATTATTCACGATAACAAAACATTCTGTAAAGTTTTGTTTTAAATAAAATATCCACATACCTTTATATTATAGAACTTACACTGTAAAAATGCAGGGTTCCACACAATTCCTTCATGTTGTTCCAACACAAATCTATTAAGTTAACTTAATCGTTTTTACAAATTTAAGTGGATTGAACATTACATAATTAAGTTGTCCAAAAAAAAACAAAAAAATTGTGCTGATTTAGTTAATTTAAAAGTAGTTTGAGCTAACAGCAAAAGTCATTTTTTGAGTGTATCTCTTCATAATTTGCTTGAGCATATGTTATGGCTCATTTCCACTGAGTGGTATGGTACAGTACGGTTTGGTACGCTTTTATGGGCATTTCGATTGTCAAAAGGTGCCAAAAAGTGAACTGTACAGTACCATTTTTTAGGTACCCTTAGCAAAGGTGGGGGATATCGGGGCGCTGGATAGCGGAAGGGTGTCGCGAAAGTAAGTTAAGAGCCAGGGCGGGGGTTGGTTGTCGCGGACCAAAGTGAAGAGGGTTGAGGAGTCGTGGAACTAAATGAAAAGAACAGCGAATGGGGATCGGTAAAATGAGGTGGTGGATAAGATTTCTGATTTGCCGGATCCGGCGTGTTCCAGCACAAATTAAGCCCTGCCTAGCACAACAAAAGGGTATCAAAAGGCAGAGCAAGATGCGCAGCTGAACACTATTAGTTTAGAGATATACGTCATTTACGCATACACAAGCAGGAGAATGAAAACAAAGAAACCGCCAATTTTAATACACACCCAAGACATTACATTGCAATACTAAATACATATAATACCGAGCCATGGTCGACGCGAGAGCAAACAAACCTTGTCGTCATCTTGATGAACAGCCACAAAGCCAAGAAGAATCAGCCATGTCCTGTTTTTGTTTTACGAGGCAGTCTAAAAGTGTGGGCGGTTTTATTTTCACCAAAGAGCTCGCGTGTGCGTCTTTATTTGAAATAACAAACTTCTTAAGCTGATAATAGTAATGTGCGCATGATTTTTAAAGCACTTCTGACATAAGAAACTAATGCGAGAGTGAAAGGAGAAGCTGGAAAAAACAGTAAATGATTCTTGCTGCAACCTAAAACATGAACAAACTGCCATGTTTAATTATTATCATCGCCTTTTGGACTATTATAAACTCAGAATTATAGAATTACCTTCTAACAAGAGGTTACATGTGCTGGTGAAAATTAAGGATGCAGATGAGAGGTTTGAACTGACTGGGCTATATTTCATGTTAGTTTTGAAGCCAAATAAGGACTAAATGAACGCTGTCTGTAGTTTTTTTGTAATTGGTAACATATCGAAGACTGTAAAGGGTTTGTATGTGTTCATATATGTTACATTTATATATTTCATATAATTGCATATAAAGGCTATTTCGCATATCATTGATCTGCAGTCATAATCAAATTATCCTCATAGAAATGTTAGTAATGAACACTCATACACCAGTATTTATGTGTATAAAGCATGTTTTGTGAAAAGTGCTTCTCATATTACATGAACGACTGTACAGCTTTACTTTGAGTGCGATTTCCATGAGCAAGAATGACGTCGATTGAAATTTTCTTTTAAACATCACATCCACTATGGTACCCTTTAGGCAGTGGAAACGCAAGCCTGATAAAGGTGACGCGTACCGACCTGGGGTGCATTTCTTAAAGCCATCGTTTGCCAACTAAGGTCGCAAGTTCCATCAAAACAACCATTGTTTGTTGATTTGCCATTTCCCAAATCCGTCACTCAAACGAACATTCACAAACTGCGTCACAAACTTGAGCACTGGCAACTATACCTCTGGAGCTGTAATTCAAAACATAGTTTCTGGCTGTGTTCTATTCCCACTTATCCTTTACCCTGCCACTTTGCTTTTTTAACTATTTTTAAAGTAATGATGATGCTCATCATTATTACTATTAAAATTATTAAAGTATGATTTTACATTTCTAATACATAATAATTATTACATTTTATTTCTTGATAAATCACCTCATTATTTATTTATTTATTTATTTATTTATTTATTTATAGAATTTATATATGATATTAGAAAATGTGTTCGCTTTTGTAAGTAATTTTATATTTTAGAATATGATATGTCATTCTCAATTATATTTGTAAATATATGTGCCCTATATGTGCCATATATTTCAATTAATATGGAAAGCCAGTGCATGTTTTTACCAAATCTATTATTGGATTTTATTTTAATGCGTGTTTGTGTAAAACAATATAATTTGCACAAAAAAATGATAGGGTTCTTCTCTAAAGAAGTTACTCCACCTAGTTTAGAGTGTCATTATGGGCGTTTTACGTTATAACTAACATGGTTCAAGTGATGGATCTGCGACCGAGAAGCTATGCGTTTTGGAAAACACTCGTCACTTTAACGTTCTTCTTCCAAACGATGCCTCGTACCATGATAGTTTAGCTGCAAGTTACGTCGTTGTTTGCAAAACGCATTCCTGTACCGTACTTTACTACTGGGCAAAAATGTCAAAATCGGAGGAGGAATTTTTAATAAATGGGTGCAGAAATGTTTTCCTGCAACTTCAAAAAGACCTAATCAAAATAAATGTTTTTAGCGTTTAGTATCAATTGGTTAGTCTCACAGATTTTGCATTCAGAAAATAAATACATTCAAAAGTTTAGGTGTGTCACTCCCACCAAAATGAATTAATCTTTTTTTGACATCACCTCATCAAATCTTCTGACCAATTAAATTATCTCTAGCTTATGATATGATCCGCCCTCTTCAAAACGCTACAGCTAATGCTGAAGTTGGTCATTTAGGCTGTAGATCTCAATGGTGAATTACGATTGTGTGACTGTGTCTGACATTTTTTGACAACCCACTTACATCATCTATTAAAAGTGACTCATATCCAATGTCTGCATTTACACACAGCAAAGACTAAATCACCCATGAAAAAAGAGCGGATGCTGACAGACAACTGTGATAACAAAAGAGCGCTCTTCTCTCTGTTCCTGTATTTAACCTGTTCACAGAGTTTAATCTGTTTTCATGTAGCCTACATAGCATCTTTAAGCACTGTATTATCTCTATAATATAACTCTTTCCCGACACTCTCCTTCTTTCTCTTTTTGACAAGTTGACTTTTTATAGTTAAGTTCTCATTTGGATGATCACGTGATGTGATTTATGCACAGTTTGACCAAAATAGTTTATTCACGTGACGCATTCAAAACATCTGCTGTACAATGTGGACCACCATGTTATGATGGTGAATTGGTCACATGGCTAAAATCCATCATCGTTTTCAAAAGCCCACATTGCAACATGAAAACAGTTGTCCTAAATTTATCCACTTTGGACAGCGCTCTCAAAAAGACCTAAAAAAGCACTTTTAGTGTGGACGGAAGGCCAAAACAGAGAAAAAAAAATGTGTTTTTAGACAAAAATGTATTAGTGTGGACATGGCCTTATTTACATGTCAAAAAAGCATTCAAATAAAAAGTTTTCCTATGTAAGAAAATAATAAACAGTACCCACACTGTGTTGATCTGATTTCCTGATTTGGCATTTTGAAACGTGTACAGAGCCTCTCTATGGCAACATACATACAAAGTGAGAGAATAAGGAGATTCAAAAATTTGTTTATTACACACCATATTCATCTTTATTTGGTGAATAGTTCTAATATACAGTAGGGCTGTCATGATACTGGAATTAGATACCAATCGATTCTGAAATTTGAAAAACATCTATTTCCTGCTAACATTTGATTGCTATTGAGTGCGTTTTTAAACAAAGATGATTTGCCATTGTGTTCACGTGCTCAACAGAAATGACTGTCATTGGCTGTGAAGGTTATCAGTTCACTGAACTCACCGCTGTTTACTGAGGGTAAGCACAGATCATTATTATTATTATTATTATTATTATTATTATTACCTTTATTTTACAAGGAGAGACACATTGAGATTAAAAATCTCTTTTACAAGAGAGTCCTGGCCAAGATTTAGGCAGTACGAGTCACATGGGTCTGACAAACAACAAACAAAAAACAATTAACAGTTAACATGAATCACACTGACAAACTATTCAAAACATCTACAAGCCTGTGTTTCAACTTCTAAATCATTTATAATCTTTTTTAAAGCATTTAGTAAAATCAACTCTTGCAACTGTGTTTGTAGATTATTCCATGCAAAAGGTGCTTAGTACTTTAAAGCCTTTTTTTCCATCTCAGTCCGCAATTAAGGAACAGACAGTAAATAAATATCCTGTGACCGAAGGGATGGATGGGAGTAAACCCAGTATAGATTTGTAAACAAAGATATGCCAACGCTTGAGCCTACGAATGGACAAAGCAGACCAACCTACACTAGTATTCAGCACACAATGATAAGGGATTTAAAATTTTTTATAAATCTTAGTGCACCATGGTAAAAAGTATCCAATGCATGCAGACTTTGATACAAAGCATGCAGTTCTTAATTCTAAAAAAGAAGCCTAAAATCACTTTTAATTGTTTTACCAATTGCTGAATGTAAGTAAAAGAAAATGTATCATCAATTAAAATTCCAAGATATTTGTACTGGGACCGGTAATAGAACCTAGCTTTTGCTTAGAATGTTTTGAATTTAAAAACAGCATAAGTTTTGTTTTATCAGCATTTAAAACTAGTTTAAACGCAGATAAATTATGTTGAAGTACATTAAAAGCAATCTATAGTTGAGAAAGGGCCAGATTGGGTGTAGATGCAGCTGTGTATATGACTGTATCATCAGCATAATAATGAAAATTAGCAGTTTTGGATATTTTGATCAATATTATTTATATATATATAATATTTATCAAATATAAAAACTGCAAAAATACAGGGATACTGGAAACAGTAATTTCTATTAAGCATATGAACACAAGGGCAAATTAGCACCGTTTAGGAACTCAAATGTAAACTGGAAATGAGTGTTCTTAAAATTAGAGTATCGATTGTTACCAAATTCCAGTACCGTGACAATTATATTATATAGAGATTCCTGCAGAGTAAACATGATTTCCTTTTGGTGTGAATGATGTCTGCTTTCGAGTTAATGTCACGTGAACGACCGCATTGCTAAGGTATGTATTGCTTCAGGCCACGGAGATGTAGTAGGATCATATATGCAAAACGTTTCAGACTCATTTGAACTATGCAGAAAGCTGTATTATATTGTGGAGAATCAAGTTTAACTGGCTGAGCTTTGATAACAACAGAGAGGCGCTACTTTTTTTTCCGTCTTTTTGCTTAAGATGAACTTACATCAAATATCGAACAAAAGGACTTTTAAAGGGGACCTATTATCCCCCTTTTTACAAGATGTAAAATAAGTCTTTGATGTCCCTAGGGTGTTTCAAAATACCCAACAAATATATTTTAATAATTCTTTTAAAAAGCCTATTTTAGGCTTACAGTGAAATTGTGCAGCTTTGGTGACTGTCACTTTAAATTCAAATGAGATTGTGCTCTTTTTCAAAAGAGGGTGGAGCTACAAGTGCCTATGCATCAGTATAGCAGCATATTCAAAACAGGACTAACATTATCTCTGTAAAAAACTGACAACTGTCAAAAAAAAGTGTCTTGAAAAAAGGCAGTCTATGGAGACTCAAAGTGTTCAGTTGTGTATCCTAAAAACTCCACATTTATAATGCCTCTTATTCACTTCAGTAGGTATGGTGCGAAAAACTCTAATGTGGACGGCTGCTTCTCACTCACGGCTGTCTATGCTCTGACAACATGTAAAAGGGAAAATGTTAATCAAAGTGTTTCTGCAGGCAGTACTAATAAAATGTGACTATAAATAAATAGAATTAATTATTTTTTACTATTAGAGGCCAGCTATATTCACACACTGATGCCACACAAATGGGTTTAAACCATTATAAAAGTGATTTTTGCATAATAGGTCCCCTTTAAGAACCACTTTTCCAGGTTAATATTAGCTGCTTTTAACTGCTTCTAGTTCTGAAGCAGCACTCAAATTGCCATAATGGAAAAGAAGTATGGAGAAATTTCACATTTAATTAAATTCGACAGTAAGAACTTGCTCCTTTGTTTACTTCACTTGATCATGGATTTGTTTGCAAAGCAGGCAAAAATGGGTGGTGGTTTGTTAGAAAGACTGCATCGCAACAGTGCTACTTGAGACAAGCCCACGCACGCTTCTCACCTGCACACGTTGGACCAGCAGCAGGGCCTGGGTGTCGTTCTGGTCGGCCTCCAGGATAAGGTCTGTCAGCTTGTGAATGATGACATCAAGGGGCCCCTGCTCCTCTAATGGCTGACTCAGGTCCAGCTGCAGAGAAGAGAAGGTTGAAAGGACATCATTTACACTTGGAGCATGAATCTATGCAGACAATGACAAAGGTCGGTGATGTTAAGTATAATTATTAATACTGAACATGCTAAACAAGACGGTGAGAGTCAATGAGTTTTGTTTTTTAAAAAGTAACATAAATGCATGACTCAGATATACAGAATAACAGAATAACACTCAGATAATAACATACAGAATAATACACAGAATAACACTCAGACAATTTTGTTAACATATATACATGATGTATACTATTGGGTATTATGTTTTCATAAAATACTTTTAGAAATAAAGTAAAAAAATTATATACAAATAATAAACTAATAACTTAGTTTACTAATAACAAACTAATAATAATAAACAAATAAAAATTTACAACACACTAAAATAAAAAACAAAACAAAAAAATAAAACAAAAAAATAAATACAATTAAATAAGAATAAAATAAATAAAAAACAAATAAAATAAAATAAAATAAATTAAAACGAAATAATAAAATAAATAAAGTAAAAGCAACACAAACCAAAAAACTAAATAAAACAAAACTAAATAAAACTATTTTAAATTTTTGGTGAGCTACTTTTTTTAATCTGTAATTTGTTCACAACATTGTTGTTTCAAATCTATAATATATTTCTTAATGTTTAGAAACTCCAATGAAGATATATTTCAAATATTTGACTACCATTTATGTCCATCTTTTAAAGTGTATAAGATGTCGCAATACAAAAAAAAGACATAATAAAAGTAGTCCATGTGAATCAAGATGTTCAAAGTCATTTTTTACTATAATTACTCTGTAAGACATATCATAACAAAGGTTATGAATAACACTAAAACTCAATGAAACTGAAAATACAATTGCATGTGTTCACAACTCAAGTAAATGTATCATGATTTAAGGATGTTTAGATAACTGTAGTGAACATTTGTCATTTTATTCACTTCAGACGTATGTCGAATGTAAGTCGAGTTCTGATTACAATTCATATTTTATAGCCGTAATGGTTACATGAACACAAACCTCAAAAGCAAAAAAGCAACTGCTTGTTTCCCTTTTTTATGCTTAATTATTTAAAACCTTTTTTATTATTAACAATGTTGTTTGATTTCAAATGTACAAAATAAATAAATACATGAGTTATAAGACACACAAGATGGCAAATTAAATCAATAAAATACATTTTACATTTTTTTTTTAATTATTAATTAATAAAATAACAAAAAAAATAAAAGAACAAAATAATAAAATAAATAATAAATAATAAATAAAGTAAAAACATTTCATTATTAATTATGTTGTGGTGGGACATTTCCAAAGAAAGAAAGAAAGAAAGAAAGAAAGAAAGAAAGAAAGAAAGAAAGAAAGAAAGAAAGAAAGAAAGAAAGAAAGAAAGAAAGAAAGAAAGAAAGAAAGAAAGAAAGAAAGAAAGAAAGAAAGAAAGAAAGAAAGAAAGAAAGATCTAATCAATGCCCTCACACATTTGTATGGCTGCACTGGAGCAGAAAAGAAAAATACTACATGTGCTGTTTGTACAGTAGTTAATGAATACTCAATGTAAAGAATGTGCTCGATGGTTACCTACATAACTAGTAGCTGGCTTTTTTTTTTTTTAGAAAACACTGAATGTTTTCTTTATTCAAAACAGCTTTTTATCTAAGAACTATCTCTTTTCAGTCTCCGAATAATGTTTCATAGAGGAGGCATTAGAACCAAGCTGGAGGCTGCAGGGAGCAATGTTGTAATGAAAAAGGATTAATAGAGCCTACATTGAATTAAGTTCTGTATGATTGGTGTCACGAACAACATTAGAATCAGAACATCAGAATGAAGCAGAAAGGGGATTTAAGTGACTTTAAAAGTGGCATGGTTGTTAGTGCCAGACAGGCTGGTTTGAGTATTTCAGAAACTGCTAATCTACTGGAATTTTCACGCACAACCATCGCTATGGTTTACAGAAAATGGTCTGAAAAAGGGAAAATATCCAGTGAGCGGCAGTTCTGTGGCGCAAATGCCTTGTTGATGCCAAAGGTTAGAGGAGAATGGCCAGACTGGTTTGAGCTGATAAAAAGGCAACAGTGAGTCAAATAACCACTCGTTAAAACAGATGTATGCAAAAGAGCATCTCTGAACACAAAACATGTCCAACCTTGAAGCAGATGGGCTACAGCAGCAGAAGACCACTCCGGGTGTCACTTCTGTTAGCTTAGAACAGGAAACTGGGGCTACAATTCACTCCTCCAAGGGTTAAAACTACTTTCTACATTCAAAACAATCTCTCCATACACAGTGATATATTAAATAAGTGGCGCATCTGTAATATATCTTCACAATGACCCTGACATTAAAAAAGTTCAATTTGCTATTTATGGCTGAGAGCTGCGAGGACACAATCTACAATATTTCCATGTATGGCATAAAGTTTAAACCCATCAAACTGGCTAAAGTGGCTTTATATTTAGTGGTTGTTGTTTTTTTCTCCCCTTCCACTTTTTTTCCAGCATGGATCGCCTCCCGAGTGGTCCATGTCAAAAGCAATTCCATACAAATCGGAGCACAAATCCCAAGGTGCTGATATGCTGACAAACCTGTTCAGCCTCTGATAATCTGGTGCTTACTATACACGTACAGGCTGTCCCACCACAAGCTCTTCTGTGGACAGCGGAAACACTGGCCTGACTGCCTATTGGTGTGTTTTAGTCTTTGTTGCGCAAGATACAATGAACCCAAAACTCTTCCTCTCTCTGTCTCTCAGATGGTTTTGTTGGCTAAACAGCAGCTCCTCCCTTAACTACAGCTATTAAGTTACAGCGCTTATATACACTGAGATACAAGCACAAAACACTTCATGAGAGAAAATCAATACGGGGACATAACCAGATCAGACCAGGTCTTACCAGTGCAATTTATCATCTACACTGGGTGGTACCTTTTAAAAAAAATACACATTTACAGGTAAACGGTTTAGACTGATAGCTCAAAAGTATATACAAACCTAAATCAGAAAAAGTTGGGACAGTATGAAAAAGCAAATAAAAAAGAAAGTAGTCATATGCAAATTTACTTTGACTTGTATTTCACTGCAATCAATATGAACACATAATACTTCATGTTTTGTTTGGTCAACTTCATTTCATTTGTAAATATAGATCTTTTTCTGTCATTCAGACCTGCAACACATTCTAATAAAGTTGGGACAGGAGCAAGTTAGGGCTATTAAACAGGTAAACTGGTTAATTAATGATGTGATTTGAAACAGGTGATGTCAACAGGTGATTTTAATTATGATTTGGCACAAAAGCAACATCCAAGAAAAGTCTAGTCCTTTAGGAGCAAAGATGGGTTGAGAATTTAGAATTTCAGATATTTTTTGGAAGAAATGGATGTCGGACCAAAGAAGAAAAGGATCATCCAGACTGTCACCTGCAACAAGTCAGAAAGTGGCAAAGTAACTTGCACTTATGTGTTGGAACCAATAATGCTGAAAAGTACATAGAGATTTTGGAGCACAACATGTTGCCTTCTTTTCCAGGGACGCTCATGCATATTTCAACGAGACAATCCAAAACCACATTCTGCACACATTACAATGTTCTGGCTGCGGAGGAAGAGGATACAGGTACTTGACGGGCCTGTCTGCAGTCCTGACCTGTCTCCAATAGAGAATGCGTGGTGGATTTTGAAGGACAACATGCAACAACAAAGACCCATTACTGTTGACCACTTTAAGGTTTGTTTACAGGGAGAATGAAACAAAATTACACCTAAAACATTTCGTCACTTGATGTCTTCAGTCCCTAAACATTGTTTAAGTGTTGAGAAAAGGAATGACAACATTACAAAGTGGTAAATGCTTTACAGTTACAACCTTTTTTTAAATGTGCTTCAAAAACCAAAATCAGAATGTGTTTGTTTTTAGAAAGAAAAAAAAATCACGAGGAACACATTGATTAATTTTTGTTATATTTTCTGAAATACAAGTCAAATTAAGTTTAGAAATCACTAATTTCTTTTTTTTTTTGTATTTGCGTTTTCTATGCAGTCTCAAATTTTCCTGATTTGGGGTTGTCTTTGTATCTAAACTTTTTACACTTTTGTACTTTTTAGGTACTAATATGTACCCTTGAGGTATTAATATGGACCCTTAAGTAGCAATGTGTAACTTTTGAAAAGGTACCAGTGACAGCCCTTGTATCTTTAATTCTGAGAAAGTACTAAACTGTAGTGTATATTGTATGGATGCACCAACTTATTTATATTTTTTTCCTTTAACTGATTTTTTCTTTCAACACAGAAAAAAAAATCACTAACAAATAATGTACATAAACCTCTTTAAAGGTACTATATTATTATCAAATCATTCACTCTCTGATGGGTGCCACTATCTTTCCTCCAGGTTATGTGTGGAGACATGACCAATCAGTTATTCATGATGCTTAACACCAACTGAGACACAAGTAACTAAACAAATATCTGTCTGTTTGATTGCTCCTCGAGGCAATACATAAGCTGTGATGTCTCATTCTGCTTTGGAATGCTTTAATTTGATATGCTCATGATGCTATTGTTAACATGCTATTTGATGTATAACATGCTATTGTGATGTATGGTTAACGTGTAACCTATGAAGCCTAACATTATTTTCAAAACAGACTGAATTTTTAGTCCTGCTCCCGTCAGCTTCTGCTAGGTTTTACTCCGCAACCGACTGCTCCCGCTGTATATTCAGCCTTTGTTCACCTGGTGTCTTGACTAAATTTAGATCTGGTTTTAAAAATGGGTACTACTAAAAAAGAGCGATAACAGATAAAACTGTAGTTTGTGCAAGGATTGTAGGCTAAACGTCAGTTTTGTTTGCTCATTTGTGATGAGAAATGAGTGCCGCATGACGTGCGGTGAGGATTGTGGCTGGTGAGGCACTGACACTTTCAAAGTCAGATTTGCAAACATATCCACTCAATATTTTTGCCAACTACC